CCATAACTTTTTCCAAGACTGGATCTTGGGCTTGCCATCATCAACTGAGTACACTTAGACCAAAAGTTCATTTTGAATTTACTACTTAAATTAAAAAATCATAGTTACCCAGGATCCCTAGTCCCATTAATTAAAGCATATAATTACCCCTATGCTCTTGTATGGAGCAGAGGTTTGGGGTCTATACTCAACCACAGTACTAGAACTAACACAGTCCTAGTATTTGAGATGTATTTTGGGTGTAGATCTAAGAACATCTGCTCAAGCAGTTAGAGCTGAATTGGGAATTCACACAATTCATGCACTATCCAAAATTAGAGCATATGGCTACTGGAACAAGTCAATGTAGTGGAGACTGATAGACTCCTCAAGTTATGTCTACTAGAGCAAATAAAATTACAACCACAAATCTCCTGGATCACCAAACTAACAAATTTTGTAAGAAGCTGTGACCTTCCTGTATCTTGTGTAACAAGAGAATGATTTAAAAAAAGAGCTACCCAAAGAATTAAGGATATAGAAACACAAAATGATATAGCTATCCTTAGTAAGGTGGATAACTTGAAATGGCTGAGCAAACACAAACGTACTACTCAAATAGACAGCTATTTGAAGTTACAACTACCAAAACATCTTACGGAGATATTTCCGCAAGCGAGATTCAAACAGCTTGACACAATGGTCAGATATAGGAGATTCCATTCTATATCCTACAACGGACATCTCTGCATTTGTCGAACGGCAGAGGAAGAAGACCTGGCTCACATCCTATTTGATTGTTGCCTGTATAAGAGAGTGGGAGACAGGTACCTTGGTCAAATGAATGACCCGTTGTGATCCCCATATCAAAACAACTTACCTTATGTGTGGCCAGAATTTGAAAATAACATTTAACACAGCACAGGACTTAAGCAAATGTGAGATCTGCATATGTGGGACTGATTGGGATAGATTGCAGGGGTGACATCCATTTCCACCACCGGTGTTAAAGGAGAAATTCCTGGCATTAACTGGTATCTCCATTTATTCCATAGTTCTATCAAATTTTTTAAAAAGGGATTTTGAATCAGATATATAAATGGGAAGACTAGACAACAAGATAAAAAACATAACACAACTAAAGACTGTTTTATCAGATATTAAATTAAATTGGTTGAATTTAATACAATTAGAGAAATGGATAAAAAAATGGAAGAAAGATTCAAGGAGAAAGATAGAGTTAACAAAATTTGAAATGATTATAAAAAATATGAGGTGAATTAAGAATATATAGGTAAAAAAAGAATTGGGAAAGTATATAGAATATTAACTGAATTAGAAGAGCAGGCAAAAGATTTAAAATTAATTTGGGAATCAGATTTAGGAGAAATAAATGATAATGACTAGAAAAATATTTGGAATAGAAAAGTATGTAAGAATATGTCAGTTACAGTTAAGGAAAATGGATATAAAGTGATATGGATGTGGTACTTAACACTACGTAAATTAAATCAAATAGATATTAAATATACAAATATTTGTTGGAAGTGTGAGAAAGAGGTTGGAACATATAAAGATATGAGGTGGGATTATGATAGTGCACAAAAAGTATGGGACATGGTGTTTAGGGAAATTAGAGCACTTTGAATGTAAATTTAGATATGTCACCGAGGATCACATTACTGTTGCTGGTGAAACAAAAAAGGAATTTATTGTAAATTTGATAGTGGCAGCTAGATTAGTGATGGCTAAATATTGGAGATGAAATTGGGATATTCAAAGAAATGAGTGGTATAATGAAATTTGGAGTATGGAAACAAATGATAAGTTAACAACAGATATTAAATTTTTAAAAGGGATGATTAAAGTAAACAATTACTGTATAATGAAATATGGGAGGATTTTATAAAACCAGTGTCGGTGGAAGGCAAAGGGAATAAACCTACTCAAGAATATATGTTGTTTTGGAAGGGTAAGGGCACAATTGGAATATATTGTATATCTTTAAATTGTTTAAGTTCTTTAAGAAGAAATATAAGGGGGGGGAAGGTTTCAGGGCAGTGTTCTGTACTATTTGTATTTTTTTTCCTTTTTTGTATTTAGATTTATATGTATTACAATTGTATTATTTATATTCAAAATAAAAAATTATTATATATTTCATTTTAATTCATATTTTATTCCAATTCCATTTTAAATTGCTTTTATCAAATTTTAGTAATAATTTGTTTTTAGAACTCTGCACTTTGATATGGCCCAAGGGCTAATCAATCAATCAATGAAAAGGTGGTGACCTGGCAGTTGCAAAGGATCCTGGATGAAATAGACTATCTGGACACCTTTCAGTCAGAATTCATAGTTATGGGATGGAAATGGCATTGGTCATGCTTGTTGGTGATCTCTGGCAAAAGTGAAATGGGCTAGTGCAGGGGTCCCCAACCACCAGTCCCCGGACCGGGACCGGTCCGTGGAACAATTTCTACCGGGCCGCCGGTTTGCTGGGCGCCACCATCTTGTTTTGATGAAAAAGTGCTTCCGGTGAGCTTTTCCGGGTAGAAAGCAGCGTTTGGGTGCTGAAAGAATCCTCGCACCTTAGTTACATCGAAGGGGGGGGGGCGGCTTCGAACAAAACTAAGGCGCGAGGATTCTTTCAGCACACATGGCAAGGTGAGCCGAGCGACCGTCCCGAAGCCATCGCGAAGCCCATCGACACAGGTACAAAGGAGAAGTTGAAGAAGCTCCTTCTTCCTGGAGAGAAGCGGGGGACAGCTGGCTGGCCGGTCGCTCGGCTCGCCTTGCCATGTGTGCTGATGCCGGTACCAGGCCGCGGATGATTTTGTGATGCTGGTACCGGGCCATGGCACAAAAAAGGTTGGGGGCCACTGGGCTAGTGGAACCATCCTTACTCTCCTTGACCTCTCAGATACTTTCAATACCATTGGCCATGATATCCTTTTGGTACAGGGGATGGAGAAAGATGGCACAGTTCTGCGCTGGTTTAGCTCCTTTCTCCCTATAAATCAGTATTGATAGGGAGTGAGAGGTACAGCCCTCAGCTGCTATTCTGTAGTATACTGTAGGGCTCAGTACTCAGTACTCAGGAAGATATTAAGAAAGAGGGATATAAACTGGAATAAGAAAAGATCTGGGGAAAAGAGGGGGAGGAGAAGCAGTAAGAAACAGGTGCATGAAATAAAGAAATACGGAAATAGTAAAATGTTGAAAAGAAATTGTTTTTTCAGAGATAATGGTTGATGAATTAAAAAGGGGATTCTGCCGGGTGACAAGGGGTAATAAGAATATTTCTGCAATTAAAAATATTTAGAAAATAGGGTAATATAGATACTGATAATTATTATTAAAAATCAAGGGGGGGAAATATGCTGGGGAATCCAAATGAAACGAAGTAATGATTATTATTGTAACTTCTTAAAAATAATGGTTTATTGGGAATCAAAATGAGGGAATAAAGGTATATTTTAATCATTTTGGTGTCACACTCAAAGCAGTAAAAGGGGGAAACTTATACTTGTTTTTTTTTCTTTAGTGTTAAAATTTGTATTAATCTAGAATTTATAAAAAGAATGTGTAATGGAAAGGAAATATGACAGACTAACGAACCAACTAAATTAATAAGTTAATATAGAATATTAAAAGCAAGGAGAGACATTGGTAACCTTTATTATTATTATTATTATTATTAGGCAAACACATATTGTTTATCTTTATTTTTAAAATAAATATTAAAGGATTATATTTGAAATAATTGAAATGAAACAAAATATGTTTTGATTGAGATTAATGAAAGAGGCTAGAATTAATGTGTTTGTTTTTCTCCTTACTGAAAATTTGGAATGGAAAAGGTAATAATAGAATTAAGTATGCATATATGAATGTATAATTGCTGTCATATTTGTATGTAAAGGTGATGACCCAGAAATATGTTGTTCACTAAAAAAAGATTTTTGTTTTTAATGTGAAAAACTGAATAAAATTTGTTTAAAAAAAACTGTGTCCAAATTCTATTCCTTTGTGCACAAGCACACAAGGGGAGAAAAAAATCAGTCCTGCACATGCCTCTATCAACTGCAGAAATCCTTAACCCCTGGGCCGCAGCTGTGAGCCATTTAGAACCAGGCCATGGAAGCATATTTCCACCAACAATCTGGGTCCTCATTTTACTGACCTCAGAAGGATAGAAGACTGAGTTAACCTTGAGCTGGCTGGTCAGGATCAAACTCCAGGCTATGGGCAGAGTTAGCCTGCAGTACTGCATTCTAACCACTGCACTACCACAGCTCTATCTACCACATGTCTCAGAGATAAGTCCCTCTGGTTGTAGCTGAAGTCAGATAAACTTTGGTAAATCAGATCCATATGCAATGGTAAGCCAGTTTCCAACTATTTATTCAGGCTATTCTTCTGAAAATTCTGATCATTTGTATTGTTCCTTAAAGTATTAGCATATACCATTTCTTGTTAAATTTAACCAAAACCCAAAATATAATACAGAATGGTTGTACATAATGGAGAGGTTTTGCTATAGGTTCATAAGTCAGGAAAAGGGAACAGCTGAATAGAAAACTGTTGAGCAGATATGCCAGAACTAGTGCTATAGTTCCTTCAACAGTTCCTAAGCTATAGTCAAAGGGGCTTATCTCTGAGCAGACATGTGGTAGATAGAGTTGTGGTAGTACAGTGGTTAAAATGCAGTACTGCAGGCTAACTCTGCCCATAGCCTGAAGTTTGATCCTGACTGGCTCACAGTTGACTCAGTCTTCTATCTTTCCGAGGTCAGTAAATTGAGGACCCAGATTGTTGGTGGAAATATGTTGAGTTTGTAAACCACACTTTTATATAAGTGTAAGAGCTATTGCTATTGTTATTGCATCTAGAAGTTCCACACATTCTAATAGCTTGTGCTTTGTGCAATTAAGGCTATATTATAATCATTTTTGATAGCGAGTATTTTCCCACATCAAATTATAAACCTTACTATATAAATTCAGTCAGAAGCTTACAGTATAAACTCTGTAAGATTGCACCATTTTGTAGAATCCACTTTGTGCATCATCTCTTCAAAGGATTTTCCACACACTGGCAAGTTCTGTAGCATGAAGGATTCATTGCAGATGATCTGCTGTTGTGCACCTAGAAAACAGAAAAGTTCTGATCAAGTCAGCAACAAAACATGATTATGGCCCACTTTGGAAAAACATGAAGATTTATAAATATATACATCAAAACAAAGTTTCAATCAAAGTAGACTACTTAACTATTAAATATCTTGTCAGGCCCCTAGCTGGATTTTGGGCTGACACAGTATGGAGATGAAGGGGGGAGTAATAGAGGGAATTTGGTAGACAAAATAGAATAGCTCTCTGGTAAATCAGAGGCATTCCAGCAGCTGGCCAACCCCAGGAGGAGAAGCGTTGTAACCAGGCAACCAGCTAGTATTCAGATTGAACAATGTGATTTATTGTTTTGAGAAGACTGGAAACTTTTTCTTTTAAGGTTGTGAAAAGCCCAGGAAGATTCAGAACTGGCTTTTCACCAGTTTGTACCAGGATGGTATTTCCAATAAAAATTGTTCTTTGAGGAATCGAATTGCCTCAGAGGTCTGATTTGCAATGGATGTAATTCCTGGAATGCTCACATATCTTATACCTTAGACATGACATTAGCTAGATATTGTGAAGCCCTAAAACTTTTACAGGAGATCCTCGCTTATTTATTATTTGTTTAACAACTGTTCAAATTATGACAGTATAGAAAAGTGACTTACAACCAGTCCTCACACTTAGAATCATTCTATTGCTCCCTGAAATTATAGGACAGCAATCTGGATGTTGGCAGCCAGTCTGGATTTCCAACCATGGCAGCTGATTACTATTTGTGTCCTTCCCAATCAGGCAAAAATCAAGTCAATGGGGAAGCTGGAAGGAAGTCACAAATTGTGGTCATATTATGTCTTGCTTAACAACCATGGGTGATTTGTTAATGATCACAGCAAAATATAATAATTATAATTATAAAATCGGGTGTTGCCACAGGAGACTCATTAACAACCAAAATGCTTAACAATAAATTTTACATTCCATTTCCCATTGTTTTTAATATTAATATTATTTAAGCATCACTGAAGTAAGTTCATTACTCTAGGAGTATGTATGTATGTATGTATGTATGTATGTATGTATGTATGTATGTATGTGTG